GTGTGTTGGTAATAATGAACACCAGTAGCTAGGTAATGCTTAATCTCTGATTCAAACCACTGGCAAAAATTTTTTTTTTTTTTTTTTTGTTAGCTGCTGATTTTGATAAAACTATATTTTATAATTGCTGAAGCAGCTGAGTTTTGTTATGTTGCTGCAGTTTTGTGTAATTACTCTCCATCACTATAATTTTTCTTTTAGTTAAATGCATTGGAGGTGATAAACTCTTAACTATCAACTATAAATATTCATGGGGAGTGAGAATAGTTCTAACTACCATAAAAGCTTTTTCCCAATAATTTTGGCTAGTGCTCTGTATTTACACAGGTCGCTTTTCTGATGGTGTTATGGCATAAGTAGAAAAAAATAATATACATATCACCTCAAGCAACAGCCAGTCATAGAGCCAGGTCCCCTATAGTCAGCTGTGCTGAGAATTCTGGGCTCCTTCACAAAGGGCAATAAGGAGAGGTCCCCCAATGTGAATGTGCTATAAAACAATATTGTGTTTCCCTTAAGAATTGCAGTGATAAAAACATAGACCATTCTGCAGCACTAGCAACTTTAATAAAATAGCATAAAGCACAGCTGTCAGGTCTGCCAGCATCTCACAGTGGGAGACATGAGTGAGAAAATGAACACTTTTCACAAGCAGAAATATTCAAAGAGCTCCACTGTTTACATGTAATCAAGACTGACAGTCATAGATTATCAGTGGAAGAGCATTTTCTGCTTGAGGTGAAAGAAGAAGATAATTTATCAGGAAGCCCAAGAAGTCAGACATCAGTAATGATCTGCTTGAAGAAGGGCATATCTTAGAAATAGTGCATTTATTTGTACTGCAAGGCAAGAAGATGTTCAGAGCTATAAACACGAGTCTTGGTGCTTGAAGAATGTTGAGCAGATACAGTGTGTAATTTGCTGGGCAACTGCGATTAGAGAACTGACTAATGTGTGTCTCGGTGCTTGTTCAGAATATTAAAAGAAAAATTTAGCATAATAGAGATTGTCTAAAAGAGCTGCTCATGCTCTCTCATCCCGTTCCCTCCTTTTGGAGTTATCCAAGCTATGCTGAGGGGGCTGCTCACCTTCCAGTTGATGCTCAGGGTCCAGACACTCCTGTACTGAGTGTCGACAAGCAGGTTTGGTTTCAGAGAATTTGGGGCTTTCTGAGTTTTGCAGTGAAACATTTTGTCCACCTGGGGCAATGCTTTTGCATCACCTTTCTCTTATGAAAACAGGCCAAGTACCAGCTGCTTTGAAATGATAACTAATTTGGAGCCCTACAGAAAAGGTTTTATAGACTCACCTTGCCTTGGTCCGCACTGAGTTTGCAGAAATAGATTTGTTGTACAGAAAGTATCACAAACTTCAAGGTAGTCTGTGTTTGGATATATCTAAGTAAGGATGTCAGCTCAGCTTATCCAGCTTTTATTGTCTGACAGGGATAGGAAAGATGGATAAATCACTATTTTTTATGGATGGATATCTGGCAAATAGAGGCACTTTTTTCCCTTTAGTTTGAGCAGAACTTTGGAGTGTTCTCATGATGCAAGAGAGCGTTGTTTCCTCCTTTCCTAATCCAAACTTTCAATACAAGTCAGATGTTTGCAAAGATTCACGGCTGGGACTTGGATGTGTGTGTGAATATGAACGCACTCCAAGGCACAGAAGTCCCTAAGAAACAAGTATCAACTGTTTTGTTTGTTCACCACCTGAATTCTAAATCAGTACAATTTATAACTGAAATATCTATGTTCTTCTTTCCTGAAAGCAACTTTACACTTTAGACAAAATGCTATAGAGACTATCTTAACCTCTCTTAATTAAAACATACAAAATAATTTTGCATAAAGTAGCTTTAGTTTACAGAGGCCCTCACAGGGAGAACTGAACCCTCTGAAATGCACTTTACATAAGAACACATTAAATAACCAGGTGAGACCAAACCCATCCATGATCACATTACCTCATCAGCATTAGGGATCCCTAGCAGATCCAGGAGATTTGAAGAACCAGGAAGGTGCACAGGCGGACCTGCACTGTGCTTTTCAGCTTCCATGGATTGTAGTGCATCCAATCCCGGAGCTAGAGTTGGTATTGGAAACCTTTATTTTGTCATCTGTTTGTTGGTACTGTTGATCTTGAACCTGCAAGTGTTTAGCATCCAGAGCACCATGGAATGTTGTGGGGTTGGAACAGTCCATAAAGATCACCTAGTCCCAAACCACTTCTGCCAGGGGCAGGGACAGCCCCCACTAGACCAGGTTGCTCAGGGCCTTATCCAGTGTGGCTTTGAACACTGCCAGGGTTGGGGCATCCACATCTTCCCTGGGAGACCTGTGCCAGCATCTCACCACCCTCACAGTAAAAATGTTCTTCCTAATTTCCAACCTAAATGTCCCCTATTTCAATTTGTACCCATCCCTCCTTGTCTTGTTACTACAATTCCCAATGAAGAGTCCCTGTCCCTTCACTGTAGGCCTCCTTCAGATACTGAAAGGTGCTGTGAGGTCTCCATGCAACCTTGTCCAGGCTGAAAATTTTCTCAGCCTGTGTTCATAGAGAAGATGCTCCTGTCCTCTTATCAACTTCTTAGCCTCCTCTGGACTGCTCATCTAGCAAGGTTATCCGTAATTTAACTATTTTGCATCAAAGTGGCTGTCTCTATGGTTTGGTTGTACAGGAGCTGCAGGATGGTGGTGTCAGAGAAAGGTAGGCAGCCACCAGAGGTGGTTTTCCCAGTATCTCCAGTGTTAGTTTGGTAATATCACAAACTAAGTGGCACTGGGTTGATAATTGAGGATTGCACCTCAGAAATTACTGGCACGGTAAGAGCTTTGAGCACAGAGTAGTCCTGGGATCCCCTTTGGGGGGTAGATGTAGCAATTTCATACTGAAATAATACTCATCTATAAGTCAGTTGAACAATGATTACCTTGGCTGTGGCAGTGATTTAACACCTCAGGCTGTTGTTTGACATTCTCAATGTGCCCACAAAATGTGGAGGCACCTTTTCTGTGCCAGAGGCTCGAGATGCCTGCCCTGAGCTCCCATCCAGGCTGGGGCTGCTGCGTGTCCTGGGGGCTGTGCACTGGCAGCCAGGGCTGCTGGGCTTCCAGGCAAGTTTCAGGATTCATTGCTGCTCTCCATTCATCTGTTTTAACCTCAAGTCAAAGATTGATTATTTTTAAAGGTTAGCTGTTATGTAGCAGAGGAAACCCTCGCCTTTGTCAGCTTTGAGAAGTCACTGTGGTCTGTAACTGCACAGTTTTAATTTAGGCAACAACAGCCATTGCAGGTTAACCCTCCTTTTTACTACTCACTTCAGTTTTTTTGAACAGGAAAAGTCACCTACCAGTCACACCCCCACTTTACCAGTCTCCACATGGAGCCAGCTCTCACCTGGATTGTGCAGAACCAAGATGTCAAGGGAGAACAGCAGCCAAATCATGTCCCTAAGAGCAACTCTTCTGGGTTAAATAAGGAGACCTTGAGAGACAGGGGCAGTGCTCCCTTCCTGTTGTACAGCCTTCCTGCTGTACCTCCAACCAGTGTTAGGTTGAATGAGAAAAACACAGCTTTTTTTTCAGAAAACAGCTCACACCTCAGTCAGATACCACCACTTGCTTTGTCCTGGTGCATCCTCTTGCGAAGTGGGAGCATTCCCAGTCCAGAGAAAGTGCAGGATGATGGATACTCTTTCCAATAACTCATTGCCAGGTCACCCTGTGGGTGTGTGCAGAGGGTGAGAGCAGACACGTGGACACAGGCATGTGCTGATAGTGTGTGCACTGTACCAGTCCCTGGCTTTTAAATCTTTCTCTCTAATTCTGTGGCATTATTACAAGATGGATTTATAACATACTTAGTGCTAATGTTACAATGAAGATTAGCCTTCTCTCAGTCGAACCGTAATACATTTTAATTTGCCTACAGCTACTGCATTGTATTGGCATGAAAGGAAATGGCTTTCTAATGCAGCTTCATCTGCTGAGCAGGGGGAAATCTGTGCTGCAGAGTGTAAAACTACATGGGACTATGGCTGGCAGCAACATTCAGAGTAGGAGAAAGAGCACAGATAGCATAGATAAAAGTATTTGTGAGTTAGAGGTATGTTACCAATCCTAGTTTATTGCTAAACATTCCATATACAGTAATGCACTTTGCTTGGCAGGTTCATGATGACTTCATCTTTGTTTTTCACCCCTTCATCTTCTATGCTATAATTTGTCCTGGAATAAAAGGTGTAAATTCATTAGTTTTCAATTTTGTTGTGACATTAGTAGGAAGTTGGTATTATGAAGTTCCTTAGAACTGCTGGTGCTGTTGATGCAGTCTGTGCTGTGCCTAGAGAACCACTGGAATCTTAATACTTAATCCATTAAGTAAATGTTTCTGCTGTCTGGTGTAAATGCTGCCTTCAATTGACAAGTTTCAGGCATTCTTTGAATGGACATGTATTGAGAGACCGCCAGCTATTCACCAGTCTTCACAGAAGTAATCGTGAACGCCGTTTATTTCTATCTTTAGCACACCTTTTATAGGGTTCTACAGGGTCTGCGGGCAGAGCAAGCTACTATTGGCTAACACACACAGTTTACATTTTTTCTCCTACACACAAGAATATTGTTTTGCTTTACTCTCTCTTCTGCATGAAGGTTTCAAGGACTTTAGCCTTTAATATCACGACTTATTTCAAAGGCTGGTTTGTGCATACAGGCCTTTACTAATATATAAAATATATCAACAGACATGTGCACAAATAGTCACTCAAGTGCCAATATTTACCCTAATATGGAACTCCCCTTTTCAGGAAAGCAGCAAAGCCATCAGCTTCTCCCTTCTTCTTCAGTGGCACCTTCCTCTCTTCATCACCAGGTCCATCCATCCTGATGACACATGGAATAGTTAGATTGATTGCCCTAAATCTGACATTAAAACTGGAAAAAAAAAAAAACAAAAACAACCTGATTTTTTTTTCTTTCTCCCTCAAAAAGTTGCAGCGACACGACAAAGATGATTCCCCTGACAAGTGGAGAACAGAAGAAGAAATGGCAGCTGAAGCAGAAATTCTGAAGAAGTATTTCCAGGAAAATTAGAGGTAATGTTTTGAACATTGGCTTACTCCAAAACTCTGCTCAAGCCTCCAGTGTCTTTTTGAGGATAACAGGGAAAACATCTAGAATGAAACAAAAGAAACCAAAGCTCTTAGCTTTGTTTTGTTTCCAAAAGGATACAGCACACCAACAGTGGCTGGAATAACATGCTCCTTCTGGAACAAATCAGCAAGATCCTAGAGCATTTTGTTTCCAGACAGCAAAAATAATAGTATATCTAGAAATGAGAATCATCAGCATTTACTGAAGAGGAGTTTTTAACCTAATATATCTTCCCTCTATTTTTTGGGCAGAAAATAGCCCTGGTACCTCTACACAGAGCTAAAACTGGTGTGTCTGTGTACAACCACATGTGCATATGCACCTATACATACAAAATTGCATTAGAATTCAGACAATAGAGTGGATGAGCAAATACTAACCTGACGTGTCAAGTATTAAATTATTTGATCAGTTCAACTTCCAAAACTAAGCCTGCTGGAAAACTGCCTGTTCTGCTAAATTTTCCACCGATCTTAAAAGAAAAAAATATATATTTGCGGAGAGGAATAGAAAAGATAAAACATTTGGCAAACACTAACATTGGTGCTCTAGAAATTGAGAGTTTTTAATTTTGTACCTGGAGTCCCAGGAGCCAGATTCTTCCAGCAGAAATTAACTGGCCCCAGAGATCAGTGTGAGTTAGGCTGGGATGAAACACTGCAGTGAGGATGCCAGAAGCTCCTTCTCCCCTGCTCCCCATATGCTGTTTGCCATCATCCAGCACTCACTTCTCTGTCACTTCTGACTGTCATGTTTTTCCTCTGAAGAACCAAAATCCCAGAAATAAGTCTACTCTTTCTGTGTGACTCACTACTTGCAGCCCAGCTTGAGAAATCTTGAGCTAAACTGCGCGTTGTATGGGTGGCACACTTACGTGGCAGCTCTCATCGCCTGTGCCATTCTGCCATTTGGATGGCATTTTGGATGACTCCATTTCGAGTTCATCAGACTTCCCCTTCCATTTTTTCTTGCATCGTGACCATGCTCTTGTCCCCAGCCAAAGTAGCTGTGCCAGCCCTTCTGTGGATGGGCACAGAAAAAGCCATGTAACACTTGTAATTCCCATCTGCGAAGGAAATTTCTCCCCAGCAGCTGGGACCTCCAGGGTTTGGAGCAGCAGGGTTTGGGCTAAGCAGTCACATTTCTGCAGTGGCTGCTGGAGTTGCATTCAGACACCCACTTTTCACCTTCTCAGAAATATGCTGCTCAGAAGTGAATTACTCAGCCAGGAAGAGCATATCCTTGGTAATGCATGTGTAAGCACCCTTCTCTAACAGAGGCATTATGTGGTGCTCCATCTATGGCCCAGCCACCAATGAATAGTACTTAAAAGAAAATGGCACATCCCTGTTCCAGTGTGATCCCATTGTTTCTCTTTATTGATTTGGTAGGTTTGGGGAGACTGTTTTGTTTTGTTTTGATTTGTTTTGTGGTTTTTTTGTTTCTTCAGAAATTAATTGGAAATGCATTTTTTCCTAGAGATTCTCAAAGGGGTTAGAATTAAATCCCCATATATCAATAAAATGTTCTTCACCTCTTCTGATACTAAACACAAAGCTGGATAGATGGTATAAATCCTTTCCTGCAAGCAAATTCGTGTGGCTGGACATCTATTTCCATTTATTATGAAAATGAGTCAGTGTGTGTCTGTGTGGATGACCTCTTGGTACATTTCCCATGATATTAAGGTCATTACCTTTCCTAGAACAAACTGGTAAATTAAATCTTCCTGGCATCATTATCATGAGAGTGCCTAGTACAGGCAGTCCTTCCTACCCTTGATTCCCAACATTAGGCATCACTGCAAATCTCTTCTCCCCAACATTATTTTGCTTCTGAGGTTTAAGGCTCTGAACCTGAGATAAAGGTATATCTCTGCACCTTCTGCATTTCTCAGCCTTTGTCTACTCTCTTAACCTTGCTTCTAAAGTTATGAAGACTGAAAACTTTTGACAGATTAACAAGGTTATATGCATCCTTCTTTGAAGCTATTTTTGTATTTCACTTACAAAGAATTCATTTTGCCATTTGTAAATTTACCTGAATGACACTTGATTTGAGGTTTTTTCATGCAGCATAGGGAAAGTCAGAAAGAGCTGAATGTGGGTGTTCTGCAGCCAATAAATAGAAATTTTTAAGGCTTCATGCAATATTTTTATACTTCATTGTTTTGTTTAAAGAATCCCAGCTTGGCTAGATCAGCCTGGGCAGATCGAGTTGTGTTTTAGGGCTTTTCCAGCTACCCTTACATTTATCAGAAGCCCTTCATCACCTGCCACAACTCCTGTATGACTGGACTAGGTACAGTAGCATCTTCTACCTTTACAGACTATCTGATCAAGAAGGACTTGCAAATAATTTTTTTCCTAATAAATACTTGAGTAAGGCAAGAAGTTTTTGGCTCTCTCCTTACTTCCTTTGCTGGTGCTGATCCCTCTTGGCTGGCTGACTAACTACAGTTAAGTGCTTCTATATCAGTCCCCAGAGGACCCAAAATATCCACCCACTTGCTTAAGGAAATTAACCCATTTAGCCTTGCTAAGTTGCCACCCTTGAGAAAAGGCTTATCTTTAAATATTTTATCTGCGTGTGCAATATCAGTGAGTGAATTTGTGTTTTGCATGTGTTTCTGGTTTTCCCCTGGATGTGCCCATGCCACTGGATCCCACCCCATTGGAAGGATTTGTCACTTCTTGAATTGCCCCAGCAAGTGCAGGCTCTGCTCACAGAACTGTGTGTGCAGAGCTGAAGTTCAGGTGAACTTCATGTGACTCTGGAAGAGAGAAAGAAAAGGAAATAAAATCTTTCTGTGGAGAAAGTTTCTAGGGGGAGGATATTTTATATAGAATTTTCCCAGTTAGTCACTCTCTTGCTTAGTAGCACCAAGATTTTACCTCTTTAGGACTTCTTTGGGAGCTGTTTCTCATTCTGTGTTGGCTGTCCTCTGGTCAGCCGTGTTTGATAACTTGGTTGCTTTTTGAGGTGGATCCACAGGGAAAAAGTCTTTACTCAAAGAGCAGGATTTGATGCAGCACCCTAATTTCCAAGCCTATTTTCAGATGTGCCTTTTGAATTTTCTAAGTATGTATAGCTGGGTGTTTTGATAGTCTGTTTTGTGCATTTTAAATTGCACATGCCAGCAAAAAGGCTAAAGATTAAAAGACTTGCTAACCTTCAGATTGTATGTGAAAAATGTTTCTCTTCAAAGGCAGCTTCACTCTGTGTTGTTATTTCTGAAGAAGGAACCAGGCTGTACAAGTTTCAATAGTTTTCCTATTTTGTGCATAACTGAAGTAATACTTTTATGCCATTAGAAAAGTAGTCAGTCTTAGTACAGTGTCAAAATGTCCCTTTGCATAAAGAAGTTGACAGTGATATTCTGTTGCTGAGTACTTGGAGTTACAAATATTCATTAGCTTTTAATTGCTTAGCTGCCTGAATATTTTGTGTCCTGCAACATGCCAACTTCTTGTAAAAATCCCTTCAAAGTAATGTGTCCTGCACAGTCTTGCAGGATTTCTGATGTCAGTCCTTCCTCTTGCCAGTCTGGCAATGTTTCTGGATAAAATAGTCTTTTCAGCTTTTCCAGAGAGTATAAATTTTATTCTTTTTTTTTCCCACTCATTCTTTGAGAGCACTCATCCTGCCTCACAGCTGCCTGTTCTGCACCAAGATCTCGGCATGTGTGAAAAAATGCTGCTCTATTGACTTCAGCAGGGAAATTACCACTGATAGCAGCAGCTGGCCAGGGGGAATTTAAACTGACAATTTGACTTGCATCTGATTTTGCTTCAGCACCTCTGGAGTGTGACAATCCATGCTGCATGCATGAGAGTGAGCACCAGAACAATCCTATCACTTTCCTTAAATTTAGGCAAGTATGACAAAATTACTTGCAACACCCATCTTTGCTTGTTTTACTGTAAGAAAAAACCTCCTCTATCAGTTCTGGTACTTTAAACTGTACAAACACAGAAAGTGATGGCTGTGTCTGTGATCCACAGAGTGGATCTGGGACGCAGGGAGGACACAGCCTGCCCCAGAAGATGCTGTACCTGCACTGTGGGCTGCAGTGTAGGTTGTCCCCTGGGTGGGCACCACAGGTGTGGTCAGAGGTATTTCCTGCACATGGTGCTGCCTGTTGGCAAGGCAGAGTCACCAGGCAGTTTTGCAAACCACGGCATGCTGTGTTATGGGAAATGGGAGCAGGGACAAGGGGTGCAGCAAGCAAGCTCAGTAGTTTCAGAGCCTCACTTTATAAAGCTGGGCAACCTTTCAAGAGTTAGGGTCAAGGTGGTGCCAGGGCCTGGGCAGTTCCCAAAGGGGCATGGTCTAGGAGCTGTGTGTGTGTAACCCTTAAGTAAACACACATCCCACACATCACAGAACACACAGATCACACAGTAATCTGCTTTAGATCTCTCTGCATTCCAGATTTAAGTGCTATTAACTATATCCCCCACTCAGAAGCCTCCAAGAAGAATTAATTAGAAAGCAGGAGCTGGCAGTTTGCTTGTCTGTGTGAAACTATTATGACCTGAGAATGAAGTACAAGCTTGAGAAGAAACACGTTTTATGAAGGTCACCTTGAAAAACATCATAACAATCTGTCAGAAGAGAATGCAGCACTCCAAGTGTGCATTTCAGTGTGACATTATGCTCTAAGTAGTTGGAAATAGCAAAGAGAAGATGGATCAGATCATAGGGTCTGTGCTTTTCCACACAAAATTCTCTTTTTCTACAGTAAGTACATATAAAGTAATGTTTTTGTCATTTCAATGGGATGCAGGGGAAGTTAATTATCAACACAAATCCAACAAACTTAATCTGGCCCTTGCTGGTATTTTTTAAGTGTAAAATATCCAGACCCTTCAACTCTGCAGCAGGGAGAAGGTTTATACACAAGAATTCGATTACCTCTTCAAGGGAAGGTGTAAGCAGCCAGCAGTGGTGCAGTGGCTGTACAGCAGAGACACCCAGACTGGAAAGCTCAGGGCAAAAGGCTTCCCCAAATAAATGTGGTGTGCTGTGCACAGCAGCCTCAGTGTTGAGGTTGATTATTTTTCTGGGTGAAGCATGTGATTATTTCTTATGAAAACAGAGCTACAGGAGAGCTAGCTAGAGTTATAAATGAAATGCCATCCTCTTGTGGGAGGCAATAATGTCCCACTCATACCTATTCCAGGGCCCTGGTTTGAGGCTCGTAGTACTGTCCTGAAAGTTATACACCTCATTCTCTGGACTTTCATTTTCCTATAGGTAGCCATTTAATTCAGCTGTCCAGTGCATGAATTCCACACAGGACTGCTTGGGTTCTGCAATTATGGCTACAGTAGAAATATCAGGGCCAGAGACACAGACATGATTGTACAGCATAAATGCAAAGCAGCGAATGTGATACTGTTGGTGAAGAGAGCTGACAGCCAAATGTTCTCTTAACCTGCACATCCAGCAGTCTGAATGCCTACCTGGGCTGCCTGTCCAAATCAAATATTGCCAGTGTGATCAGTTCTTGATTCATCACAGGCTTTGTGTGTCATGTTGTATGAGAAGAAAATGGGGAAAGCTGAGCATAAGTGATGGAGATTTCTCACAGGACTTGGGGTAAAAGAGGTGAGGTGCAGGACAATGCTGAGCTTCAAGTAGGGATGATATCAACTGTGACCAGGAATTTTTACACACAAAACCTGTCCTAAAATGGTGCTAATCTCTTGCCCCCAAAGCTGTCAGAGGATGCTCCTACCGAACAGCCAGACCCTCCTTGAAGCAGATTCACAAAATACACGCCAAGTGATTCACAGGCTGCCATCGAACTGTCAGTCAGGAGGGGCTTACAATGGAAACTGTTGCTCAAAATGCCGTGGGAATGGGAAACATATGTTTCAGTGAGAAAAGACAATCAAACAAAGAAGTGGGTGGCTGGGGAATTGCAGCCACAACAGCAGCAAGATCCGAGCCTCGCGCGCAGCCCCGGGGAGCGAGTTCGGGGGCCGTGCCCTCGTCTAACACTTGGGTAACAGCTTTGTGTTTAATAAGCTGAGATAATTTTCCCACTATTGAAGCCAGCTCTAAACATGTTCTGAAGTGAAGGTACAAAACTGAAGATACCAAGCCAAAAGCCCATTTCATGCTCAATTATTAGCTAAGGTTTGTATCACGGTATCCTGTTGCTGTAGCTGCTGCATAATAGAACTGCCCAGAGAGACATTCGAGCCAGCAACTCGAACATGACCTCAAAGCTCGAACACTGCCTTTGTGTGAGTGTCGGTATCTCGGCTGTGTAGGTGGAAAGGCATTAATAACTCCTCCAGTAAGTAGTTATTTGAGAAAGGAAGGGGGTGATGGATGTTGGAAATATGTTGGACTGAGCGTACTTGAGGCTCTGTTGTTTGCCAGGATGTCAGTCTCTACACAAAAGCAGAGGTATTGCAGGGATAAACTCAAATGCCCCATTTGTGACAGCACCTGGGGCTGCTGCAAGGCTCCAGCTACCACCACGGTCACAACTGTGCCATGGGCTTGTGCAGGGATTTCACACACAGCTTCCACAGCTGGCAGGCTCTCAGCATTTCTATTTCTCTGCTTCGAGAACACCTTCCACATCTGTCATGGCATCTATTGCAGGCCTTTTACTAGGATGGAGCACCAAGACATGCATAAAATTGGAGCAAACCTGGCAAGAAATGCCCCATTCATTCTCCAGTGTGTGAGGCTGGGGTGATTTTCAGGGTGATGATCCCAAACCACTGGTGTGGAATTCCCTGGCATTAGGCAGAGTCCTGCCACAGGGTCAGGACAGACAAGGATATACAAGAGATGATAGTCTTGAAAGATTATTTGTAGGAGCTTATATAAGAGATCATGAGCCCCAAAGAGTCTTGCATGAGGTTATAATAGCAAAATAGATTTGAAAAGTAAGAAGCTGGATTTGATGACACAAGATGCCCTTTCTAATCCTTCGTTCCTGTGACGAGCGGTCAACGGAGCTGGGGACTCTGCTGTCTTACTCAGGGACATCAGAGAGGTGGCCTCACTTCACGTTTGTTCTTTGTAAAATGATCCTGACCTCTGTCCAAGAGTGCTTTGTGAGTTAGAATGAAAAGCATGATGTGAAAGGGAGGCATTAGTATTATTTGCAAGTGCAGTTTATTGAAAAAGCAGATAATAAATCAGATAAATTTCTTTTGTGCTCTGGTAAATAATTTTAAAATAGTTGTGAGCAAGGCTTTTCTCCTTCCTCTGTTGCACGGGCTCTGATAGGAGCTGCCATGTGCTGTGTGGGGGTTTAACTCTGAACATTTCCTTTTGCCTATTGCTGTCAGTGACTCCTGTCAGAACACACTAATGAGCACCTAAGTAGTTAGTAATAAACAGCCTCACATTTTGTCTTACTAACAAAGATCAAAGCTGCTATTGTATGTAATGATCTGTTATGTTTGATATTTCTCAGGTAACAAAGTGTTTGGAACACATCCCATGACGCCAGAAAGTCCCCAGAAAGAACGACCTCATTCTCCAGTTCTTAGTGGCCCTGGAGGTGCAGCTCAACAATTTTATTATGTTCTACAAATTTGGGATTCTTCCATGAAAAATTTTATTGGACCTTTGGATATCATCAAGGTTGAACTCCAGCTAAGACAACTAAACAGCAGTGGTTCAAAATATTGCTCTGAATTGTAACTCATATTTTTCTGAATTGTGTGCTTGGGAATGAATCTTTTTAAATTGTCCCTTGGCCTAAATTGAAATAAAATTCCAGGAAAATCAGGTAGCTACTGTGTTTAGGTACATTACAAAGTGTTTTCTCCGTGTTGTGCTCTTTGATTCAGTTATTGTAGGTAGGCTATTTTATCATAGAAAAATTAGATCTTTTAGCACTGTGGCAATTCATACAAACCAAGACTTTGTTACAGACTAGCCAAGATAAACTTCAAAAGCTGTTTTTTCTTTGGATGGGTCCTATAACAGGAAATATTGAGCTTCCTGAGATCTTTCTTTTCTCTCTTTCTTAATGCATTATGACAAGACTTCTGGAGTTTTAAGTGATACAAAATATTTCTGTAAAACAATTAATATGTGAAGTTGCTCATGGGATAGAAGTAATCACATTAGGGTTAGACTGGCATGGATGGCTGTTCCCAGCCACAAACAACAAGTGGGAGCCTCCCACAGGGAACCATCTCAGCAAGAAATGCTGTGTTCAGAACCCTGCACAGGAAGAAACCCACCATGGGTTAGCTGTTGATTGCTAACACATAATACAGGAAAAGAAGTCAAGCAACAGATGGAAGAGAAAATAAATGAGTCCGTAAGATTTGTGTGAAAAGAGAACCCATAATCCTCCTCTGGAACTGCAGGGAAGCAAACAACCAAAGCTTTCTGTGTCCCCCAGTCTCAGGATGAAAAACAAAATGCCCCCAAAATGCTTTCAATAAGAGCCATGCTGAGAGAGGCCATAGGGTGCAGAGCCTACCCAAGGGCTTGAGGAGGTCACAGCAAGGTCTAAGCCAGAGCCTGGTAGAGCTTTGCCTGCCTGGCAGCACAGTGTGATCATGTTCAGAACAAATTCAACTGCTCCATGATTGTCTGTCCTGGAGGGTTACAACCTGACCTGAGAAGTATGAAAATGCACTATGGATAAGCTCTCATAATTTTCACCAAGTCTCTCTGCTCTGTACTGCGGAGCCATTCAGTCCATTGGCTTGAAGTCTTTATGCTTGTCAAATTTAAATAGAAATACTGGAGCAAAATCACTGATGTTTGATTCCAGTTTTTACTGTCGTGCTATTTAAATATTGCTCCAGAAAACCAGTTTGATTCAAAGACTTACCATGACCCAGTGTAGCCCCCAATATCTTCCATTAGCCCTTTTAAAAACTGTACAGATTGTAACACTATTTCTTTTTCTGTGCAGAGCAAATGAAAAGTCCATTTTGATGGTGTCTGCACTTTTTAGACCCTGAGCAAGGGCTGAATAAACAGGAAATGAAGGTCAGGGAGCAAGAAGTGACAGAGAAGGTAAGGTGAGCAGACAAAATGGTCAAAGATACTGGCAAATGGGCCAACATTAATGGTTGTCCTTTTGCTCTTTAGCATTTCAAGTAGCTGTGACTTCAGACAGAAGGAAGACAATGGTTGTGCTGCTGGGGAACACTAAAAGAAAAACCTCAGCATCAGGTACATTTGCAAGGCATTTTTAAACCTGGTGCGCAATGGCTTCCTATTTATTATGGAATGTTCTGTATTAATTCTGTAGCCTGTGATGAGCGGGCGCTGCGCCAACCATTTTGCATGGGGGCTGCAGAGCAGATGAGTGCTGAGCTCCATGGAAGATTTCATTTGTGTAAATGAGGAGGCCGTTATCACAGCACTAAAGGTCCTGTTTTTAAAAAAAGCCTCCTGTGACATTATGCACAAAACAACCTATTTATGCAGCATGAAAATATTTATGTGCTTCGCTCCAGCTTAAAAAGGGAATTTGCAATAGATGAGGGACATGAGAAAGGATTGGAGTGAGAGATAAGGAGTGATTAGAAAAGGCAGATCATGAAGTACATGACTTCCTGCAGCAGTATATGGAGTAAACCCTCACTGTTTTTTTAAGATATGGACCTTGAGGATGGTGTCTGGATCATTTATATACTTCTTACAGACCTAATTTTCCACAGGCAGGGATCTGTACGCAGAGATGCCATTGCTGGAAATGTGAGGAGATGCTGTGCTGAAGACACTGATGGCCTTTGGAACCATCTTTGTCCTTTTCAACCTTCATCTCTTACCCTCATGGGGGTCATACCTGGGGCTTGCCTTTGGGCTGGGGAATGCTGCAGTGCTGAGCTCCCTCACCCAAAGCAGGAAACACAGGAAAAACTACCTGTGCAAGGGCTCAGATGGACGTGGCACAAGAGGAATGGTCCCTGTGGAGTGCCTTCATAACAGGACAGAGCTCAGAGTCTTGTTCCCTGTCCTTACACAGATGAAAATTTCCCAGATTTTTTCAATTCCTAAGTGTTTTTCCTGAAGCAGCAGTTCCTCTGAAGGGCTGCAAGGGCTGTGCCTGTGTGCCTCTTTTTCCATGGGTAAAGCAGCTGTGGTTCAGCCACAGTTCTCCTCACTGACTTGTAGGAGCAGGCTGGGAGCTCCACATCTCCCCTGACTGCCCTGGAACAGAAATTGCAGAAGAGACATCTGAGAACAGACGGGTTATTGGGAGCACATATCTGATGGGGACACATCAGCCCATGCATCCGCTTCCTGCCATGCCAGGCAGCTCAAGTGCTTTCATCAAGGCTGAGTGCAGCATGAGGATGTTTGTTATTTGTCTTTCAGCAATTCAGCATTGTTCTTGCTCCAGATGCAGATGTACCAGCTCCAGGTTCTCCACAGGCCAGCTGATGCCACCCCAGGCAGCTCAAAATGGTTATGTGCTGACAGGTCAATGGGCTGGGGATGGGCCGTGTCAGCTCCTTGAAGACTTTGTGTGTTAATTCAGAAATCTATGCTTCTTCCAACCAACCCCCCAGCACACATTCACCCACCCCTCAGGTATCAGGCTCTCTTTTGATTCTGTGCTCAAATAAGCCAGTGTTTTGTTTTTAATTAATGTTGGAGAGAAGGGAAAATGTTCTGTTGGTCTCTGTGGGAGGCTGACTGGGCTGCAGACTCAGGCCGATGCCAAGACAGCGGGTTCTGGCTGCAGTGAGGGGAGGCAAAGTCAGCTCCTGGCATGTGACAGTACCCTGAAGTGTGGCCAGGGACTGAGCACTCCTGAAATAAAAATACCTGAATCCATGTGGGATCTGAGGTCATCTCATTCCCAGCCATAAAGCAATAAAGATCTTAATGCCCCAGTACCCACAGAGCTAATGAAAAACTCTCAAGCCCAAATACACACATAGTGACAGCCATGAAAGTACCTAAATAATTTCTATGCCAGCTTTCTGTGTACTCCTATCCACTCCCCACCTCTCACTGTCACTGTGGTCGATGGCTGCTGAAAAGCCTTGTCCGATTCCCGCATCTGGTTCCTGACGTGCAGGCTAGCAGATCTGTGAAGGAGAAAATGCTGGTGCTCATGTAAGCTGTCCTGTGTGTTGGCAGGCCTGTGAGTTTCAGAACAGAGTGATATATTTCAGCTCTTGTGAAATTTCTGAATAATCAGCTCATCAAAAAATATCATGCAGAGTTCCCTTGTAGTCCTTTCCAACTTGCCACCTCTCCTGCCAATAGCTCCGTAGGGTGACCACAGCTTGGCAGGGCCCATTAGCAGAGCTCTGCACAATCATTCATGAGTAGAGCTGGCTGTAAAATAGTGTTCCCTCCTGAAAAAAAAAAAGGAAAAAAAGATGAGGGGCCAGAGGGTGCGTTTGGCTTGCCATTTCTGGATGAAGATTTTCCCCGCTTCTCTCTCCAGAACCCTCTTCTGCTCCCCCACTGCACCTCACCCTTTTTCCTCCTTTAGAAGGTGACTCCAAGAATATAAAAATTCAGCCTAAAGTGGTAAAGACATTGGATGCTGTTCAATCTGCTGGTGACTCCGCCTGGCCCCCAGAGCTAGGAGTGTCACTGCAGGATGGTCACCAACACACCAGCACCTTCTCCACCAGAGACTCCTGAGCAAGTTGTCCTCAGACCTGTACATTTTGCTGCAACTGCCCAGTTTCTTCTTTGGTGTTTCTTGAGAAGATATTCTTGAGATAGATTTCTCTTCTTGAGCAGCACAGCAGCCTGCTGTTTGGGCATCTGGGAGCTGGTGACCTTGTCTTTGTGCGTGGTACAATGGGGCATGCTGGAAGGGCCCCAGGGAAACCTGACCAGCAGTGCTGCAGAGACACGGGCCTGAGCAGCCAGAATCACTTCAGCTGCTCCTCACAGTCCCAGGCTGCCTCCAGGCATGTCCCCCTCTGCTTTCCCATTCATTATAGACACGTCTTTCTGAGTCCCAGGTGATCATTGTTTCGGCTGGGAAGAGCAGAGTTCCTCGCTGTGTCCTCTTACAATGCTCAGCTGCTGACACTGTGGGGAGGAGGCCCCCTTAGAGTGAGTGGCAAATCCTGCAGAGGAAGGTGGTGCAAAAATCAATGGTTAGTGTGTTAGGATTAAAGCTGTGGCATGAAAGCCTTGTATGACTGAGATTATTATATTTTTTAGGTCTGTGTTAGCTGAATTGACTGTGGCACTTGGTGCAATGTGGGTTTAGTGCTTGTGTCACATTGCAAGCCCCTGTGTGGGACACAGCTGCACCCAACAGTGAGCAATGGCTCCAGCACATGTTTCCTGTACTGCCTGTCCCCTCTTGGATCTGCCTTGCAGCTGCCAGGCATTTGCTCCGTCCCTCTCTACTTGTGTCACCATATCTTTCTGCTCAGGCTTTTGTCATTTCTTTTGTCACCATAGTGACAGGAAAAGAGTGATGATTGCTGGAGTAATTTCCCATATTAGCTAGCACTGGCTTTTCAGCCTAAATCAGCACTTCATTTTTCCTGGGCTCTGGCTGAGCATCACTGGAGCGTCATTAAAGAGCAGTGGCAGAGGGGCCTTGGTGTATTGCAGTGCTGCCAGTGCTCCTCTGGGACAGCCGAGGCAGGGACAGGCCCTTCAGGTCACCTCATGTCCCATCAAGAATGCAGAGAGGGAAGGGGAAGACAGAGAAATATATTTGCAAAGGTTTCTCCCTGAGTGCATTTGCTCAGTCTCATGGTCAATAAAAGCAGGAATTTGGGCACTCCCATCTGTCCTGGGGCAGGTGCCTGTCTGCAGGGCAATAGGAAGAGCTCCCCAGAGGTAACTGCTCTCCCTGACTGATGG